ATAAATAAACAGCATTGTCATATGTACCGAATTTGCGCTCATTCATACTGGTACAATGTGTGCATGCGGTCAGTCATCTGGACAGATGGCAGTTGATACACCGATAAGGGTGATGTCGTAGTCTGGACGGTCATCCAACTTAGGCCAAGTTTGGGATGTTCCACAAAAGTCAAAAAGTCAAAAAGTTACTTAAAAAGTTAAAAAGTTAACACTATTCATCAAAAGTCAACAATTACGGCTGCACAACTCCCAATTCAAATTTTTCCCTACAAATCAATTTTTACAATTTTTTATTACACATTTTTCAATAAAAAGTCAAAAAGTTAACCCAAACATCCATATTTTCAACCTCAATTTTTTAGTCTAAAAAGACAAAAAGTGCACTTATTTAGTCTTCCCAAACTTAACCTTAATGTCTGACCCATTCATAAATAAAATAAAAAATAGCTCTAGGATTTGGTATTGAAAATTGTATAAAAAAATATATCCGATACATAAAGTGTGGTTATGGAAAGTTTTGTAAAAATCACGTTTTTTTATCTAAGGGAAAAAATGTAACAAAATTCATTTGAGGAGTCATAAAAATGCAAGTATAAAATTATAAATTGAGGGCTATGACAAAAAAATAAAAAAAGTAAATTTTTTATGTTACGTAAGGACATTTTGATCATTTTAATTTGATTTGACATTATAAATAAATATTAAATCAAAAAGTCAAAACTCAGTTTTTTTATCAACTTTCCAAAAAAACTAAAAAGCTTGGTAAAAAATCAAAAGTTAACTTTTTACCAACTTTTTAAAAAATATATTGGTAATCAAGTGAACTCAAAAAAATATTTTAAAATATTTTGGTATTAAAATATCTTAGACTATGTAGAAAGTGGATTAAAATTATAAATGTTTGATAGCTTATTAACATGACTCAAAAAATAAAAATAAAAGTTGTATGCCGACCACATCAATATTGCCCCATAATTATGATTATTAGTATTTTTTTTGACAAATTGTGATTATTATTTTTGTTCTAAAATAGTAGGAAAATATCAAGAAACGGGCTCACAAATTTCGTTTAGGTTAAATTAGATAAATTATTTAGATAAATTATTGTCCCAACCTAATGCAATAATAAATTAAGATATATACCACCATCAATTATAATAATGGTGAAATTATTTATCAATGGGTATTTAGAAAAATAATTACAAATAAATGGTAAATTTTATAAATATTAATAATTAAAATCATAATTTTTCCCCATAAATATGTAATAATTTTATACAAATACCACTGAGAAATAATTTTTCTTACGATAAAAAGATACATGTCTAATCAACTAATTAGGCATTATAATACAATTAAGGTTTTGTTTATCTTATATTCACATCTCAACGTTAAAAAACTTGTGGGACATGTTTTAAAGATTAAAATTGTTTATTTTGTAGGATTTTCAATATATATCATTTATAATTATTAAAAAAAAATAGTTTGATCAGATAATCGTAGTACTTTCATTTTATTGCACTTGGTTATAAAAAAATAAATGACAAATATATTTTTTTAAATATATCATCAATTTTTAGAGACAAATATGATAACATAAAAATGTTATAATTGTTAGATTGATATAATTTTTTACTCATAATATACATTCAGAGACGTACAAAATGAACAGTTTGGAATATCAAAATGAAAATCGTGATGAGTTCCACAGCCTCCTCAAGTTCTCTCAAGTTGAAATGTGAAATTCAGGGCAATTTATATGCAAGTAAACTTGATCTGGTTAGTAAATAAAATAAATTATGAATTTTTAATATTTTCGTTAGTAAATTATATGAATAAATTATTACAAATAAAAAGATTGAAAGATAGAGACTTGATCTTAGTTTCTTTATTGTATAGCAAATTCACAAGAAGAAAAGCATACCAAGTAAAATATAAAGTTGTAATATTAATTAAAGGCAAATGGTAATAAGTGTTCCATATGCATTGCTTAATGTTGGGTATAAAGTATTTTGAAAATATGTAAAGCTATTAAAAATGTATTAATTTTAGTAAAAGTGTATTGAATTTAGTGAAAAGTGTCTTAGACTCTTTAAATTTTGTCCTTTATATGTGTTTTAGGGACACTTATTAGTAAGACCTTTAATTAAAATCTAACACATGAGGTTTGAGTTAAATTAAATAAATTATTGTCTTAAGATCAACCTAACACAATTGTTTGTTATTTTTGTGTATGAGTAAATTAAGTGCTATTTAAGTTAAAAAAGGAGATTTACTTTTCAAACCTAATGATGTGATAATTAATTAAGATATTTAAGGCAATTCTCTATCATATTTTTCTAATTATCAACTAATCATATCACTTACATATCATTAAGCCTAGAAATGTGTCCAAAAAGTAAACTTATATATTATTTTTCTACTAATAATAATAAGATATGTGGCGGATAAACTATTTTGTACTATATTCAATTTACAAGAAGCTAAAAAAAATTAAAAAAATTAAAAAAATGTAAAGTCACAATACTAAATAAAATCTAAAATTTTAAAAAAAAAATCACATAAAATTTAAGCTAGTTGTAATAAATATCACGTTAAAAGGTTGAAACTACAACATAGGGATGAAGTACACTAAGAGATAACCCCTCCCCCGTCCCCCGTCCCCCTCCCTCCCAAAAAAAAAAATAAAAAAAAATTATTACAAGGTTTAATATCAACTCTGAGCAACAATAAGGATTTAATAGATTTAGAAAGACAAAGTATGATTAGAACCAACGGTGCAAAACTTTAGGGCAAAGGTTGAAGAGGCAAAACAGTGAATGTGATTGATCAACACTGCTCAGTGCTAACTAAAATGTTTGGGCCCTTCTAGCAAAGCTTAGGCAAAGCATTTATTTATTTATTTTTTTATTTTTTTTTTTGGGGGGGGGATAGGATATTAGTAAGTTATGTCACAATGAAAGGGCCATAATCGTTCTATAGACTCGAACCTGAATTTCTGATTTTTTTCACTATTCTAAGGAACAGTTACATAAATTACTGAGCCAACTGTCATATCAACTTATGGCAAAGTTTGAAAAGGCAAAAAAGACAATAAAGTTAATTAGGCTTGAATGAGTTCAGATTAGGGGTGGGCGTTGTGGTCATAGAACCTCCAATCCGTCATCCGTCCACCAAATTGGCGGAGTGGAGAAAATCAATTCGCATTTGTCCTTGCCGGATTGGCGGATGAATGCGAATCGGTTTAACGGTTTAAAATTTTACAAATTTTCAATATAATTCAACATGCGCCCTTGTGTTCACCACATAAAATGGATTCACCACAAACTACAGACAGTTCAACAGAAGAAGAAAAAAAAAAAAAACTTTTCTTTCATTGATTCATTGAAAGAACAGAGAGCATTGCTTTCAACTTCGTGAGACATTTTCATTAATCATCACAACACCACCATGAGACAATAGAAGAAAGAGAAAAGACAGAGAGAGCAAATGCCCAGAAATTAGAAATCAAATATAACCCTAAGTATTGAAAATTCAAGCCGAAGCCCTAATTACTAAAAAATAATTTTTTAAAAAAATACATTACACACTCATAGAACAAAGGTTGAGAAGAGAAGATCTATCAAAGAGAAGAGAAGAGAAAAAAAGAATACTTTTGAATCGATGCTTCGATCGTTGCTCGTTGCCACTATCGCCGATCGCCGTTCGTCGCTCGCCTCCATTCAATTGAGAGAGAGAGAGAGAGACAGAGATAGATAGTGTTGAAAAACTAGTGCAGCAAAACGTGAAATGAAAAAAATGGGAGCAAGACAAAGGGAAAAATGGGGAAAATTAAGTGGGGCACAAGCAGGTTGGGTAATTCATTGAAAGTGGCAGTTTACCACCCGACCCGAACCCACAAAATGGAAATTCTGGCCCCGTATCTGCCCGCCACACATCACGCAACCACCCAAACTATGTCGAATCGGACGGGTGTGGCGGGTCAGCACATACGCTGCCACTCCTAGTTAAGATATTTGAACTAAAGGCACAAAACTTTAGGAGAAAGCTGAAAGAAAAATTCTCCGGTGTAACACAAAATTACGTAAGTTTTCACGAACTTATATAAGTGATCTCACAAAAATGGTAAGTTGAACACAAATTTGGATAAATTTACAAAATTATTTAAGTTTTCACAAGCTTACAGCTTACAGCTTACATAGATTTTATTCAACTTATGTAATTTTATGTTAAGATTACATATGATGTGCATTGCACACCGAAACATTTACCAAGTTGAAAAGGTCAAAAAAGATAATATAAATCATCGTCATAACCACTAACTAAAATATTTGGGCCTGTTAGTTTAGATAAAGTGAGACTGGGCTTGAATAAGTTAGATTGGCCCTATTTTTAACTTACAAATACTTTAAACAGTTTATATAATTTGGGACTATTGTTCTTTACAATATGGGGCCCAAGGTAGCTGCTCTTGTGACAGAGCATTCTGTTTCTTGTGACGAAGTTTGATTATTTCCCTTTTGCATTCCTTGATAAGATTGTGTTGGTCTGTTTTTTTTTTTTTTTTTGTTAATTTTTAATTTTTATTCATTGGACCATTTTAGAGAGTGGAAAAAAATAGTACTGTGGCATACGAAGTTTTTCAGTTCTTAGGTAAACTAATAAGAAATCAACTTTCCATGACAAAATCTGCAACATTTGGATTGTGCGGGTTTTCTATGTCAAGTAATTATGTCACATTAAAATATTATATTTTTTTGCAGATTTGGGATCAAAGGAAAAAGTTCTAATTAATTTCTGTATTTTCATAATGGGGCAAAATGAATACACAAGACAAAACTAGGGAAAATTTTCTTATTTATTTTTGGTTTTTGTTTTAGTTGATAATAGTTCTGGATTTTGTCAAAGTTGGGTAAAATTGGAAGAAAATTAATCTCATGTTCACAATTCAGTATTTAGTTATATAGCCTAGAATCAATCTAATACCATTTTGTGTGTAGGGATATTGTAAGTAATTACCGCAAAGAAGTCCGGGACCTTGGCTTCAGATTGCAGGAATTAATAGCAGAGAGCCTAGGCCTTGACAAAGACCATGTAAAGAACGTGTTGGGCGAGCAAGGACAACACATGGCAGTCAACTATTACCCACCATGTCCCGAACCAGAGCTGACATATGGGTTGCCGGGGCATACAGACCCAAATGCCCTCACAATTCTTCTTCAAGATCTTCAAGTTGCAGGCCTTCAAGTCCTCAAGGACGGCAAGTGGATGGCTGTCAAATCCCACCCCAATGCTTTTGTCATTAACATTGGTGATCAATTGCAGGTAACCTTTACTTTATTTAAAAAAAAATAAAAATAATAATCTGTGTTTCATTGCAATCTCATTTTAATTTTGAATTTGTGAAGCTGCCAAGATATAAAATGTGGAAAAGAAATTAAATTTGAAAATGTGCATTAGCATATCATGAATTCTTTGAGAGAACATAAGCTTTGTGATTTATAACATAATTATATATTGCTGCCTCTGTTGACTTACCTTGAAAGAGAAAAAAAAAAAAATCAACAATGGTTAAAATTGTAGGCTCTGAGTAATGGGAGATACAGAAGTGTGTGGCATCGAGCCCTTGTCAATGCTGATAAACCAAGGATGTCAGTGGCCTCCTTCCTCTGCCCGAGTGATGATGCTTTGATTAGCCCACCGAAGGAACTCACCGAGGATGGAACTGGAGCGATATACAGGAATTTTACATACGCAGAGTATTACAAGAAGTTTTGGAGCAGGAACCTGGATCAAGAACATTGTTTGGAACTATTCAAGAACGAATAACGTCCAATTGTCCTCTGGCTTGTACCGTTGACCAGTAAGCTACTTGTTGTAGTCCCAATTCATGTAGCCCATCACCTAGAACAACTTCTTGTCTTGGTGAATGTACCACTAGCTACAATTGTTTTTGTTTTTCTCTCTCATTTGTTACATTTTTTTTTTTTTTTTTTTTTTTTTTTTTTTTTTTTTTCTACTATTGCAAATGAATGTATCACTAGCCACATTTTTATTTTTATTTTTCTACTATCGTTGTAATTGCCTTCTTGTTCTACATTGCAATGTGCGACGTTTTAATGTTGTTTGGAAGGATGCTGCAGTTATTTTGCTAAGGATGCTCATATATATGTAGTTGAGTATTTATAATGTTCCACTTTCATTAAATAATGGGTAGATGCAATAACCTTTAGCGGATGCATTTTTATGAAATGGTTGACGCCTCCAAATCCAATGGACCTCTTTGTTGTTGCTTTATGTATGTGAGATAGCGGTGTTAAAAAAAATTTGTGAAACGGTAAAATAATCCAATCGGGAGTAAAATAATCCAATCGGGAGTTTTGAGGATACTCTAGGGAAATTGACCAAGGCCGCACAGCCTAGTTCGGTCTGCAAGGGTCAGAGGTTTGAGGATTGTACCCTCTTCATTGTCCAGATTTGTTGGTCAATTTGGAAATCTAGGAATTTGTATTTTTTTTTTTTTTTATATTCTCCTTTCCAAAGTCCATATTACCATCCCTTCTCCCCTCGTGGGCAATGACGTGTGGAGGTTGAAGGGCTCTTATGCCCCCCATCAGAGCTATCAAAAATCCTTAAAAATGGTTTTAATACACAAGTTCTGATCTACTCTGAGTCAAAATATAGGTGAGATTCACGTCACAAATGTCGACTCTTGTGATTCTTGAGTCAAAATAACGGGGAGATTCACGAGATTCACATAAAAAATGTCGGCGATGAGTCAAAATAATGGGGAGATTCACATCTTTTACAACGAGTTTATGCTGTAACGTGTTCACTTCTATGTGTGGATGAATCATAAACTTTTGCTTGATCAAATCCACTAAAGAGTGAATAAATGAGAAATTAACTTAAAAATTACCAATTAAACATTGGTTGATGAATGAAAGAATGGTAACTAAAGTCTTGTCTCACGTTTATTATTTGTGAAACCAATGTTCATATAATCTACATGTAATACAACCACAAACAAAAGCAAATGCAAAAACCTAAAAGAAAACTATGCCACACTAACCCTGATTTTGCTAATACATGTGTTGAAAATCTGTCCGAGCTTATATCCAAAACACACACTATTCTGCCTTGCCCACTGTACTGCCAAAAAGCATGCCCTTCCTTCTGCTTCAAATGCTGAGACTGCTCTTAAAGTAGATGACTAACTTGCGTACATTATTACATCTTCATAACTAACAAGGAACCAAACACAATCAAGGCCACGATTAACCCATATTTAATAAACATAGTGTCAGATTCCAATTTTTGAATCTTCACAATCAAAACTTGAAGTTGTTCGTTGACAATTTGCACATTGTCCATTTGCACTTCTTCTAGCTGTCTTGCAATTTCATCACCTCTATATAGTGAATTTGTAGGCAAGCTCCGTTGAATACCTGCTCTTTTATGACATTTATAACAATTTTTGTTACAATATGTCAAGTGATCTGAGCTAGTGCTATTAATACTAAAACTTGTCATCTACAAATGATGTTAAAAAAAAGAGGACTGATTACTCCCACCCCCACCACCCCCCACACACACGTGGGGGTTGGGGATTGGGAGAGAAGAAAAAAAAAAAGAAAAAAAGAAAAGAAAAATAGACCAATCAAAAGCAAAGGGATAGAGGAAGGGGTCTTAAACATTTTTGTAAAAAAATTAAAAAATAAAATAAAAAACTGAGAGAGAGAGAGACAGAAATAACAAACAATACTCATTGAACTAGCTATATCTTCATGTAGTTCTCCAGTACCATCAATATTATCCAATGATGTCATCCATTTCTATACACACAGCCTTCATATGAACATTATGAACAAACCCATCAAAATATGATTTTAGTAGAAAATAATTATTTCTATATACAGGGCCGGCCGACCCCAATTGCTTTGCTCAACTTTCACCAAAATCTCAAAGTGAAAAATCCGATGTTGTGTGTGGTTGAGGCATTTAAGGAGGGATAAAACACACCTATATTACACCTTTTTCTTTTCTCTTTTCCTTTCCCTTTCCATTTCCAAATCTCTCCCCAAATCCCCCAATTAAACACAGCGTAAATATCTCAAGAGCCTTTCAATACCTCACTTCAAACCCTAAATAGACAATCCAAAATGTGCAAGAAATGAACCACCCTTCAAATCTCAGCTTTACAAAACCAAACTTGGGAGCAAGAGCTAAAGAAATGAGACCATTTCTAACTTCAAAAACAAAAATTCACAATTCATGTCATGAATCAACCCCATAGCCCTCTAACAAACAGAATACACACCCAAACCCCAAACCCAATTTATACGGAAAGAGAAATGTGCAACAAGTTAGAAAATTAATGGAAAAATCAAGCTTAATAGATATTCCACTTTGAAATTGAAGTGTTTATTTTCTAATCTTCAATGAGGTATTTTGTAAGAAACTGATTTCAACCACAAATACATACATTGAATTAGATCCATTGCTCAATTGAAGAGAAAATTCCATAAAATCATCGTTCGTCGTCGTCAAACACATACATTGCAAATTTGGAGGACAGACATCTAGTTTACCTCTGAATCATCGTTAGTCGTCGATGCTTAGCGAGAGAGAGCTGTGTCTTTTGTGACTCGAAGGAATGAAGCATTTTCTTATTATAAAGAATTTGAACGTCTTTCAAACATTGGGGAAAAAAAAAAAATTATATTTGATTGAAATTTTTTTTTTAAATTTAAAATTAATTTTCTCTCTATTATATATTAATCAATTATTTTTTTCTCTTTTATTTTTAATTATTTTTTCTCTCACTTATTTATTCAATTACAAACTTTGAAAAATCAAGCTTATTTCAAATTCTAAAATTTCAAAATTATTTTTAAAATATATAACTAAACAAATTTTAAAATTTTTTAAATTCTCTATAAAAATTTATTTTTAAAATAACATCTCAAAATACAAACAAGGCTTTTGGGTTTGAGCCTAAAAGGACATCCAAGTTTCTTGGATGGGTTGGGACAGGCTAAACCACGTGTGCTCAACCTGTCATCATAAAAATGGGGCCTTCATTGTTTTGGGGGCCGAAGGCCAGGGTCTTAATGGCCATGCACTTGGGCCGACCCTGGTTGGCTTGGGTTGATGTATGAGGGATATTTGTAGATTGGTCTTATTGAGCAGATTTATTTACTTATAAATCTTTTTTTTTTTAACCTATCAATATCCTCTAAAATATCCTTCACTCACCTTCTTCATCCATATTATCAACATTATTATGACTCTCTCCTCTTTCGCTAACAACCACCTCCGATGCTAGTGTTTTCGACAATATTTTTTTGAATTATTTCAACAAAAATAATATCTATTAGCAGCAACAAAAATATATTGAACAAAATCAGTGATAAATTTATCACTGCATTAATATCAAAATTCCAGCACAACAATAGTGATAATTAAATATACATTCATTGATAAATTTATCACTGATTCATTTATGTTGTGTTTGGTTGGAGGATTTGAGGAGGGATTTGGAAAGGGAAAGGGAATAGGTGTGTGAAACTATGTGAAATGTAGGTATATTTTTTTCACATTTCACCTACCTTTTCCATTTCCCTTTCCAAATCTCTCCTCAAATCCCTCAACCAAACACAGCATTAGAAAGAAAAAGAAATAGACGTCATTTACTCATTCACATTCACACTTCTACTCACTTATTCATAAGACACTCTCCTTCTACGTACATATACAACCAACAATTGATAAATTTATCATTGAAACATAAATTTACAACAGATATGTTTTTAAAAATAAAGAGAGAGGGGCAGAGGAAGAGGGGTAAGATTTGAAAAATGCTGTTGTTTGAAGACATTTTGGAGTCAATTTCACCTTTGAAACAATTAGATTGATGTAGATCTACAACGAGATCGATGGATTGGCGACAATAGAGTAGAGATCGGAGATATACAATGTAGATCGGTGATAGTTGATGTGGTTGGTGAATGATGGTAGTTGATTCGTGACGGTGGAGTGTAGATTGATGGCGGTAGCGAATGGACAATGATAGTAGTGAGTGCAAGATGGCGATGGCGGTGGTGATGATGGTTAGACGACGATGGTAGCGGTGGTTGTAGTGGCTAGATAGTGGTTATGCGGTGGCGGTGAACGATGATAGTGTGAAGGTTTTGGAAGAGAGAGAGAGAAGATAAAAGAATTTGCTAGACAATATTTTAATGAGGACAACATAAGTAATGTAGGATTTATTAGTGCATTGAAAAAGTTAAGAAAAATTGCTAGTATTTAAGTCCATTTAATAGGACTAATTGATAGTTAACCCAATATGTTACTTATTAGGATGTTTTTGTAGCTTTTTCAAAAGGGCTACCCATCAAATTGATATAATTTTTTCCTCATAATATACATTCAGAGACCTACAAAATGAACAGTTCGGAATATCAAAATGAAAATCATGATAGGCTTCACAAGGTCCCCAAATTCTCTCATATTGAAATGTGAAAATCAGGACAACTTATATGCAAGTAAACTTGAGCTGGTTAGTAAATAAAACAAATTATGAATTCTTAATATTTTCGTTAGTAAATTATATGAATAAATTATTACAAGTAAAAAAATTGAAAGATAGAAACTTGATCTTAGTTTCTTTATTGTATAGCAAATTCACAAGAAGAAAAACATACCAAGTAAAATATAAAGTTGTAATATTAATTAAAGGTAAATGTTAATAAGTGTCCCCCATATGCATTGTTTAATGTTGGGTATAAAGTATTTTGAAAATATGTAAAGCTATTAAAAAGTGTATTGATTTTAGTAAAAGTGCATTAAATTTAGTGAAAGGTGTCATGACCTCTTCAAATTTTGTCTTTCACATGTGTTTTAGGGACACTTGTTAGTAAGACCGTTAATTAAAATCTAACACATGCTGTTTGAGTTAAATTAAATAAATTATTGTCTTGAGATCAACCTAGCACAATTGTTTGTTATTTTTGTGTTTGAGTAAATTAAGTGCTATTTAAGTCAAAAAAGAAGATTTACTTTTCAAATCTAATGATGTGGTAATTAATTAAGATATTTAAGGCAATACTCTCTCATATTTTTCTAATTATCAACTAATCATATCACTTACATATCATTGAGTCTAGAAATGTGTCTAAAAGGTAAACTTATATATCATTTTTCTAATAATAATAATAATAATAATAATAATAATAATAATAATAATAAGATACATGGCAGATAAACTATTTTGTACTATATTCAATTTACAAGAAGCCAAAAAAAAAATTTAAAAAAAAAATTGTAAAGTCGCAATACTACATAAAATCTAAAATTAAAAAAAAAAAATCACATAGAATTTAAACTAGTTATAATAAAATATCACGTTAAAAGGTTGAAACTACAACATAGGGATGAAGTACTGTTGGCTTTTTCGGCTTTCGAAGGTTAGTATTGTAATTTTAACCGTGCAAGCAAGGATCCATCAGTCCTTACAGAAGATTAATCGCCAACCAATTATCAGACAATTGTGTTTCAGTTCTTTCAGCCTCAATGTAGAGGATTTTTACTGGTGGCTTGTTTAGGAGAATTTGGTAAACAATAATTAAATGAAAAACAATTGTAGCGTTTCATTAAGTAAAAATGAAAAACTTACAATGATCTGATCCAGCCTCGTAGAGGTTTACAGTAACAAGATACTTGAAACTACTCCTATGAATAAAGTGCAATACAAGAATTTGAAGTACAGAAATGTAAAAACTGGAAGGAAAATAAGGTAGATAAAAACTGGTTTCTGAATCTGAGTTCTAGCATTTTTTGGGGCTCTCTCTGCTATTTATACTTCTCAATGATAACCATCGAAACATTCCTCCATGATCGTTGATCATGCATCCTCACAGATAGCTCCATTATGCCATGTCTGCAGTTAGGCTTCCCTCCTGATTTTGAATTTGAACCTTGTGAGTAACCGTTAGGCCACATCACCTTATATCCCTCGCTCATTCCAGTGCTACGCAGACCCATTATTATGGGTTGACACATGTCTGACTATGGTTGGCAATTTATATTACTTTCCTAAATTGCCCCTCTCATGCCATGTGTTGAATCATGATTGGCTTATACAATTTATACAACCAACATTACCCCCTGCACTAATATATCCAATACTTGGTGATATTAGTGGATCAAAAAACTTCACCCACGTCCTAGGATGTGCATAGGTTTTACATCTTCTTAGAACTGTAACCGCCTGCATTAAATTCTTTTCCACACCTTGAACATTTCCCATTATCTGAGCATTTGAAAGGTCTGATACAGCTCACATGGCCAAACAAACTTGTTTTGACATAGATCAAGCATATGAGGAGTTGTCAGATAATAATGTTTTCCCTCGAAAGAATTTTCATGCATTTATTAGCCACTTCTATCCACCTCCCTATATTCAAGTCATGGAAGCTTTTGCAAACTATAGACCTTTGGACTACGAACCTATTGTTCATAATTCTCTAGCCCAAAACTTTGCAAACATGGATATTGGAAGCTCTTCTTCTAACCCAAAACCTTCTGCATGGGATGAGGCTGCAGCTTCTTCTTCTTCTTCTTCTTCTCCTAAGACTTCTGGCTGGGGAGGCTGGCCAAAACCTGAGGAATTCAAGCTGAGAGAGTGCATTAATCATCACTTCGTCAAATTCACTGATCTTCCATCTTTCCCTCCTTTCATTTGGAGCTCGGTGGTTTACCCATATGTATCCATCGATCGCCGACGCAGTTTGGAAGACAATTTACTCATAGCATGGTACACGTCTTCCATGCCTACGAAGATTGTACAAGCCACTCGTCATCCAGAGGAAGCACAAGGGTACAGCCCGTCATTCTTAGCCCAGAGGGAAAAATTTTGCTCTTCTGACTGGGTTGACTATGTAAACAACCCCCAGTTCCCTCCTTCCTTCGAGATGGATCTTTCTGCACCTCCTCTTCTGCAAAACCCTTATTGGGTGGAAGAACTGAGACTTACACTCTTTGAGAATCAGTTTCTTTCTTCCTATCAACCTTCAACATCCCCCACTATATTTGAGCGATATCAAGCTCAGCTACTGCTTGCGGCCTTTTCTCACTTGCCCTTCAATGTTCTTGAGGGTGATGTTCCTCTTAAGAACTTTCGATGGGCTTGTGACATTATGACTCGAAGTCATGTCCTCAATCCTATTGCCCAAGTAGAGCTTCAGATGTTTTTGGATCAACTCTCATTGCTTCTTCATTGGCGCCAAACTTTTGTGGCCACCACTCAATCTTTGGATAGCATCTCAGCCCGTGATGAATATAATGACTTCAAGAATAAAGACTCTCCATACTGGGATGACTTGGATATAGATGAGATAGAACAAGGATTGAAGGAAACAGAGTTCGAAATAAAAGCCGAACAACTTTTGCATCAAATACGAGCATATCAGCTTCAGCAACCTAGCTTGGAGAAGATAGAAGACATAATAAAAAAGGAACAGAAATTCATTGACCATTGTTAGAACAAGTTCCATGACCATGTCATTTTCTCTATTCCTCATTTTTATGAAATTGAATATGTAACCAAAAGGGCTTTCTGATGTAATTACTTTTACCTTAATAAAGCTAGGCTTTCCTTTCTTTATTC